GTGCATCAGTACACCTGGTACCGGGAAGCTTGTGTACAGAAGTCGATGATCGATTTGATAATCGCATCGTCTGACCTAAGACGCTCAGTAATGGATGTTCGTTTTAGAAGAGGCGCAGAGCTATCAACCGATCATCACCTTGTTGTTGGCACGCTCACTGTAAGAAATGGAGTACCATATGAAGATCTGGTGGCAGAAGCAACTGGAGAATCAAATGGGAAACAATATCTTTAACGGATATGCGAGGGAAACTTACAACATCGCACGACGGTTTCAACAGATCCCGGTGACGACTGCCGATGTCGATACTGAGTGGCAGCTCTTTAAGAGCGGCTTACTGGGAGCTACCGCAGACTATGTTTCGCTGACCTAGAGAATGCCTACTACTAAATTTCGCGCAACAAGCCATTGGCGTGCCTGCTTGCATACGGGTCGATGGCCAGTTGCTACGAACAGTGCAGTCAGTATATGCTAATAGCAGGTACAGCGTCAAAGTAAATAGCGTTAAGCCAAGACCTTCTAACGTTGGCACAGGTCTATTTTCCTGTTTGTGTTGTACATGGGTAGAATAGCCAGGCGCAGCCACCGACCTGCAGAAGGCCCAGTGTTCGGCGAAGACTAACTGGTGCAAATAATTTGAAGGATTCTGCTCTAGACTCCGCTTGTCTTCTGTCAGCGCTCAGACTCTGGCACAGGTTGGGAACGTTGGAAGCACTGTCTGACGCGTCTGACTCCGTTAACCCGAAAGGAGAAGCAGTCATAGGATTATGTTGAATCGAATAATATATGCAACCTTCCGACGTTGCGCAGCATGGAAAGATGTATGTTGGAAATAACAAAAAAACAGAAAGATGAATGGATGGATAAGAGCACAAATAAGAGTATGTGAGATCATTCCCGGAGCGAACAAGTTAAACCGGCAGTGAGGCGGACACGATGCAAAAGGAATCGACCATCGCTGGACTAGGAAGTCATTGAACTTGGTTTCAAGACAAAGTAAACGGTCGATAGGCAAATCTCCAAATCGACGGCTGGATGAACTGATGAAATTCGCTGGCTCAAGATGGATGAAAATGACAGAAAACAGAAGTCTATGGCAAAGTTTCAGAGAGACCTTAATCCAGCACTGAATCGACAAGGGTTGATGATGGTGATATAATACCGTCCAAAATAGCAGTCTTTCCATATGTACATGGACTTCGGCTAATTTACGGTTCAGTCCAAAAACGGTAATACCCCGGTTTTGCTATACCTAAGCCTCAGCATTATTGGCAATATGTTTAATTTCATGCTCTGGTCGGAATATAAGCTGAGACAGGAAGCAACGCGATAAAAACCATACACTACCAATCTGGACTAAAATACAAATTAATTTTGGTTTATACCCATATAAACGAGTTACTATGTTACCGACTATATGAACACTACCGTCTATATGAACGAATGAAACAATCCTACGACTCTGGGTTTAGTTGTGTTTTGAATTCTAGCTTTTGACATATGCTCTGAAGTTGTCATAATGCCATGAGGCCACTGTCTAATAAAAGGTTCCGCAGATCGCTGAAAGCAACAGAATATAGTGATTACATCGTCAATATATTCAGAGGAAAGAGGAAGGAGAAATGTCAGTAAAATGCTAGTCACAATTTCATATCAGTGTGGTTGATGTCGATGTCCGTAACTATTTCACAATATATTCATACAGGTAAGCAAAGTAATAAAGCTGTCGATTATAAGTTTCACTTTTCCAACGCGTACCTATCATTTCAGTGACCTTCCATCGGTAGCATCATCAGGAGAAAGTTCAGTTGAGTACTACATAAGTTGAAATAAAACAAATATTGAAATATATTTAAATTTACGCTGAAAATACAAATAAAAACCTAATCGAAATAAGTTCACTACAACGAATGAATGACTCCACTGTAGGTTAAAGTTTTGAAGTCTAGTGTGAAGCAAAGAGGTAATACTCCATGGGCAACAGCCTTGTAAACCCCAACGATGAAGAACAAGCTAATAATTAACCTCAGAATCAACAATCTACCATTCGTCCTGAAAATCAACTTTAGCGTTCGTATCATAGATTGCTGCAACGACAAAATTAATGGATTACGCAACAAAAATGCAAATGAAATGAAAGAAATGCAGTGAAAAAATTTTTGCCATTCACAAGGCGTTTAGAAAGCAGGTCACGAATCTCAAGATGGCTGAAAAGATGACAAAACATATAGGAGAGAGATAAAATCTGGTTACAAATCCGAGCCGAAAAAGCATGATAAAGTTTTCTCATATCACTCTTCGTTTCTTAAGATTGAGGACATAGCTTCGCCTTAGACTAAAGGAAAAATTCAGAATTGAATGAGTTACAGATGACACCGACGTTGATAAAAATGGACATCATGCTACGTGAATCACGTTAAAGTAAGACCTCTGGTAAGGTAAAGCATGGCTGCAATTTGGCCTATCATGAACCTGGAAACACTCAGCTAAATAACGGTATTTTCCTTACTGTAGCGATTGTCTTGCACTGCTTTATATCTTCCCAGGAGAAGAAGAAAGATCAAACATGATCTGCAATGTTGGCGGTTTATTGTGTAACGCAATTGGTAACGAATTTCTGTCATGTTTTGTCATACTGACCTACATTTCTGCACAAAGGATTCGATTTCGACCTTGCCTCCAGTGCTTTTTGAAACCAGTTCAATAACTGGGCTGAGAAACAAATAACTGTTTCCTCAAAAACCCACTTGTGCCTTGTCTCTGTCAGGTGAATGTTGTTCTACGGCATGAAAACAGTAATTCTAGCGGAAGAGCACGAAAGACTTTTGAACTGGGTGCAGCAGCATAGGATTCGACGCATAATGAGGATCAAATAGCAGGACGACGTAAGGAATGACTATTTTCTTCTTTAAAAAGATTGACGTTGCTACACAAACTGGTTGAGCATGCAATGTTTCCTCTAACTCGCGAGCTTCTCATGGGGGAGCCAAAACACGGCACATATCGACTAGGAGGCCAGCACGCACCATGGAGAAATAAGGCAGAGGCAGATAAGCTTTCAGAGAGGCTTTTTCTTTCTACGATGCAATAACCGGTGCAGTGGCATAATGGCAATGAACGCAGCCTCGATGTACTCAAGCTGCTTCGGTGCAAATAGTCGAGAAGAAATGGGTAAAAGTTGCTATCTTCCGAACAACAGGGGCAGCATTGGCATGGTGTTCTGGTACGGTCATACCAGAATGTTAATCGCAATTCATTTTGATAAACCTGAGAGTTGATTCTTCAACGTGACAATCAACAGAAAGTGTAGCCATCGTTGTTGTTGCGCCTCGTAACAGAAGTGTTGAAAAGCTATGAATCCAGCGAACATCGTAAACGAGAAACAAATTCTGCTTATGAAAACTGTATCTGCATGAAACACACAAAAGAACAACAAAATATGACGTCTTATTTAAATAAGAAATTCATAAATTTGCCATTATTCATGTGTCCTTAATCGTGCAGTTTATGGCTTTCATCGCATTACAGAGGAAAACGGATGACTGACACGATTCAGAAGTACGTACGTTTCTGACATTGCGTCGCACGACGGTGCCGCACCTGTAGTTGGGCATGGCAAACAGAATGACGTGTTGGTTGTTGGAGTCATAGAAGACGCATTCCTTGACGTGTGCATAGTGTCGTGAGTAGATTTTACCGCTGAAGGGTCGGTCGAACGACAAACGACCGGTAATTCCATCCTCTGAGCAGATGATACCGGCGTCTGAAAAAAACGTCGTTCAGGTGATGAAACAACCGAGGCATTAAAATTAACCATCAAAAGCGCAAATTACCGTCCACTTGGCGACCCTGATAAAAGCCTTGCGATTGCACGGACGCGAACACACCGAAAAATACCAGACAGGAGGTGACGGTCGCCATGCAGTCCATCGTCATCATCTTCACCTACGAAACAACAATAGGTTTTCTCTTGGCAGCAGTCGTAAACCGGTATTCATAGGAAGCAGTAAAACGAAAATGACGGTGTCAAACTCCTTCGAAATGCTCTAAGAACGAACGACAGCGAAAGCATGCCAAACGCGTGGTCTGGACTAAAGGCATCAGCCGGCAGCGACTAATTCAGGGAACGCGTCAAAACACGTTATTACTCTGTTTTTCATAGTAACATTCACTCTTGAATAAAAGAGCCATTTCCAAGAATAAAATTCAAAACTGTGATAAAGAAATAGTAAAAGGGAATTCTGGATCAACAAGCCCATCGAAGAAAAATCCTGACTTAATAAATAAGAACGGTGGCGATATGTAAACGGACAAACCTTTATAAAGGCAGAGAGATCCGTCATGGTGATAAACGTATCCTGAATGTGTTACCAGAAAGTCAACCACAGTCTCAGCGTCCCTTCTGGTACATATGACTTTATGCAGAAGGAGCTGAACGATTTAGGAAGCAATAGATGAAGAAAACTTAAGTCAACAAATGCGTAGTCCCATAGACCGCTAAAGTTAATAGATTTCTACCTAAAGAAGTGCAAAACTATGTATATCAGAGACAATTGATCCCCGCAGTAGAGAACCCACTTCACAAAAGCTACTGAAGATCAGTACTGACATGGAGCACCCTTGGATTCGGAAACTTTAAGATGTACAGACTCGGGTGACTAGTCTTGTGCTTATAGTGCAAGTTCCTCACTCAGCCGTATTCCCTGTGCTTCTGTATGAGATACATAGACTTTGAACATAAAGACTGTTCAGAACTGCAAACTACACAACGGAGCAAGGAAATATATATTTTGGAATAACAATAACTAATATGAAAAGGAACGAACGCAAAAAAGGACACAGATGTGTGTGACGTCAAAACAAAATCGAATAACTGAAATGGCAATCGGCTGAACGCCTTGCAAAAGGAACAGACCGGCTTTGACCGGACCAACGGAGTAATGGACTGGGTTCCAAAACAGCAAACACACAGCCGATAATCGGTAAGAAAATTTTCGCTCGATGAGAAAATGCATGCAAAAATATACCTGCTGGAGGAGCATAGATAAGCGGTGAAGCGGACCGCGTTAGATATTAAATCTTAGAAATGCCTTCTTCTAGCGGGAGATCGAAACAGCTTGAATATAATAACGAATACTACAACAATGGCAGAGGCGATCATCATGATAATTAAGATGGTGATAATGATAATGATAATTTTGATGAGGTCGTGATGATCATGGAAATGCTAATGATAGTTGCCGTAGTGACGACGACAATGATAATGACAGTGAGGAGTTGATAATGAAAGAGAAACGATTATGATAATTGCAGTTGTGACAACAGGGACTGAGATGAAAACATCGGAGACGATGATCGTTGTGCAATGACAAAAAATTCCAACCAATTCCTCTGAGTATAACAAACCTCATTTATTCTGTTTTGCGGTAGGACTGCACAAGACGAACAAATACTCAGTATTTTTCCAACAAAGCTGGTCTGTCGGTCAGCTATCTTCCACAAGGAGAGAAAAAAAACAAAGTACTCAAAAATAAAAAATTACAAATACAGTTCAATGGCCAACTGTCCATATCAATTAATAACAAAGTATGTCTCGACGTTAGTGCAACGCCGACTATTATTTCCAGGCAATCTCACTTCTCAACTGGAAGGGGGAAAATGG